TTCTTATGGGTTTGTATGGTGATCTTAAAAGTACTCTTTTGCCTTTGCCCAGCCGTCTCAAAGGAAGCAGGAGAGAGGTTGGTAGTTTCCCTCATTATCTGCTATCAAATTCTCAGCAAGTTGACCCAACTCACTCAAAGGCTGCTCATTTATTGCACACAGCAACCAAACAGATATAAGCAAGACATTGTTCTTCTTGTGTGAAGCAAGTCTGTCTCCTAATTGTGTGGCTGTACAGCATCTAGCACAGTAATTTGGCATCTCTGCCCTCTTGAGTAGTAAAACCAGTAATTCCAGCACCCGCATGCACAGGGCTCAAAAACATGTTTCATGCAGTTTGTGGCCTTTTGTTTTGCTCTGTGATGCTCGAAACTGATTTCAAGGTGGGGATGAGTGGGACAAGCGTTAATCAGAACGTTAAATCTTTCCTGAAGATTTCTTGTAGCTGTGAACTTCACTGTCCATGAACTGTCTAATACACTGTGGAAGAACAAGGCCAATAGTGTGTATGCTTGATTGTCATTTTTCCTCATCCTGTCCTGTGTGGCATGAAAAGTGGAACAGAATTTTCTTGACTGCTATAAAGGTTTTCTACAGTTTCGGTGGCCAGAATCTCTAACCCAGTGTTTCCTTCTTCTTGCTTCATCTGAAAGAGTCAGATGTGGTACCTTTCAGTGTAACATTAAAGTAACTAGGAGGAAGTAAGTGGGAAGGGTATTGACAGTACCATGGTAAAAAAATATCACAGCCTTTTGCATTCGATACCTGCATTTTTTCACTTGAGGAATGCCTTTTACTCTGCTTTTAAGTTGTATTCAGTGGAAGGCAAGCATGTTGTCCGACTGAGGTCTCTAGAGTCACCCTGAGAGTATTAATATCCTCACTCTGAGTAACTTTTGCCTATGTTCACTCAGAATGGGAGGGTTTTTTGTTTTTCAAAGGTGTTCAGCATTGACCTACCCCTTTTGGCATTAGAGACACTGATAGCAACCCAGTTGACGTGAAGAATTTGGCCAACCTGAAGGGTTAATCCAGTGTGAGAAGCTTTGGACTGGGTTTGATTTCTGATTTTCAGGCACAGTTGGAGAACGAGGGTGGAGTAGCAAAGCCATTTCTTTTCCTCTGATATTGCTGACAGATTTACCAGTTTGAAAGCTAAGACAAAATTGATGACAAACTTTCATGAAGTGAAAACGAAGTTTACACATCTGTGAGCAGAAACCAGAAGGAAAAAGAAAGAAAAGCTTTAAAAAACGAAGCTTCCCATGTTCACAGCCTTCAGCAAAAACTTGTGCATGAGACAGGTTCAAAGGAGGTTGATTTAAAGGGATGGAATAAAAAAAGGTTTGATGAAGTTTGATTTAAAGGGATGGGATAAATGATACGTGTCTGAAGATTGCCTTATAAATGATTAAGCAAGGCTAAAAACTTCAACTCAGAAATCAAATTCATGGGCAAATTTGCTGGATGGCATATTCCATTTTTGAAATTTATGATGGAGATAGATATCTGTTATTTTAGAATTGATCTTCACCCCAGGAATAAGATCTTTTCTTCTGTCACCTGCTAGATTTTTGTCGGCACACTCAGTCTTTGCTGTGAACTACTGACTTTATTACTACAGTGTCTGCTCCAAGCAGGTGACATTCCTAAACAAATCTTCACTGTCAGATTCCATTTGCATGCTTTGCCAAAGCTGATGGTTTGGTTTATTTGCAGCACTTGCACAGGGGTAAATGGATTTTTAATGAATCGGTGCTCCTGCATTTTTGGGGGTTTAAAGCGTTATAGAGTAGGGAGTGTAATGCTTTGGTGGGAGAATACTGTGAGCAGATGAGCATTTCAAGTTGCTAAATAAATACTGAAGTGTGTGTTTTTAAAATAAATGCCTGGGCAAGGCTGAAAAGTTTGGTTTCGTATTCAGAGGCACTGACAAATTATGACCTATTCCTTTTTATAGTAACCTACTAAGTAAGACTGATGTTATGCCAAATGAATGGTTTAGCAAATGTCCTGCAGGGTAACAAGTGGTCACCTTATGCTTAAGACTTTTTAGGCATGTGAAACCTAATTAAACCATGAAGATCTGAAAAAACAGTAATTCCATTTAATTGTATTCTCAGTTTTGAAAGTTGTGGCCTCCCTTGAAGCGAATCCCCCTCTCCTGTGGCCAGACTCTGGTCTGCCTCAGCTGTTGGTTCCTGCTGTGAAGCAGAACTGCTCGCTTCTTGCAGGAGTCTGTTGGCCCTTAGGACGTTGTTCTCATCCCAGGTAGATGGAGGGGATCCATCTCTCCAGGATCATAAGAGCTTTGGACAGTTGTCAGTAGTGCCTGTTCAGTCCTCTGAGATGCAAGCTGGAGTACTGATGAGTCCACTTGGGTGGTTCTGGCACGCAAAGTAAATGGTGTCTGATGGCAGAAGCAGCAAAACATACCTGTTATCTCCTGCTTTATTGCCCAGCCTAGCTTCAAAGGAGAGGTGCTCAAGTGCTAGTATTCTTAACAAGTGCTCCACTATCAAACACCTATGCACCATCCCACTAGTTAGCATCAGTAGCCATCGGTCCGTCTTTAGCAGGCTTGTAATGAATTTCTCAAATCAGTGGAAATTCCTTTGTGGTGTCAGATTCAAGACTGGACTTCAGATCCATAAGAAGTAATTTTGCAAAAGCATTTCTGCTGGAAGTCACATTTGAAGCTGTTCATACATGGCCATCAGTAGCACGTGGTATCTCAGTTGTACATACAGATATTTAACTAGGTCTTGCTTATCAAAAGAGAGGGTGCTGTGCTTGTCCTCTCTGAGCATCTCTGCTGCCTTCTTGCTGGCACGATGAGGTCTGTGCCCATGTCCACATGACAGCAAACTGTTGCTGTCATATATGTCATCACCATTGGGATGTCTGGTAGCACCACATAAGACTCTGATCGCAGTGCTTTCAGTTTGCTGGTCAGCATATGTCTAGCAGGTCTTCCTTGTCCTCTGCTGTTAAACCAGGAACATCTGTACTTGCCTGTCTCCTTGTAAAACCACTGTAACAGAGTTTATTCACCTATAAAGCACTTGAATTGTATCCTCGGCTGAGGCAAATTACATTACCACTAGCTTCAGAGGCGTTGTTCTCATTCATGCTGGCTGAACAGTCAGCAGAGGAGAGTTGTGGATCAAAGATGTGAGTGCAACGTATTACTGTATTTTCTTACCATGACATGTATCTTGTATTTCATTATTAAATATGTTGTAGCTTCTTATAGCTGCTGATTGTTGTTGGTTTTAGCACAAATAAAAGGCCTCTGCCTTTAAAGACAAAGCACAGCACTAATAAAATATCAAGCAGACACAGTACAATAGCAAGCTCATAAAAAGGAGATAAAACAGATTAGATGAAATAACGTGTAGTAGCTTTTAGGAAGAAATAAATGGCTACACCTAAGTTTTAAATGATGAATCAAGGGCATGAATGTTCATTGAAAGACTGAAGCAGTGTGGGCTAAGGCTTATTGTAGAGACAACACAAAGGGAAAAAAACCTGTATTAGCCAGACGGCAAAGAGACTTGACACCCATGTTGGCTAGTTGAGGCCCATCTAAGCACAGATTAGAAAGAGGACTACAGATGGAGATCTGATCACACAGGCACAGCAGCAATAAAACAGCAGCTTTTAATACCAGGTGAAAATCTTGGATAGCATGCACAGAAAGAAGGGCAACCCACTAAAGTGTGTAAGGAAAATATAATAGCCAATTCTAATCCAGCTCGGGCTTTGGAGCAAGTTTAATTGGAGTATTTGGGCTCTTCTCCTCGCTAATACTAGGTACATAAACTTAAATACTCAGCTGAAAAAATCATCCTGTGCACCCAAGACATGAGGAAGAATTAAGAAAGGCAGACGTGTAATGGAGGCTTTTGGCTAACTGTAAATTATTAGCAAGTTACAGAGAATCTCAGAGACTGTAAAATAAGCATCAGACCCAAGACCTGCATGACCCTGGCTGTCAGGATTGTTAGGACTCAGTCCTTTACTAGAGGTTAAAGGGATTAAAAAGGTAGAAGCAGCAGTATAGTCAAAGGAAACAGTTCAGTACACAGTGGGGAAGCTAATTCTCTCCTTGGTCTCAACTGAGATAAAAAATAATTAAATAAAGGGAAGAAATCTAAGGTGATACATCTTCTGTCAGGACTGCAGAGAGTTGGGATGACATGGTGAAACAGACCAGAAGAGGTAGAGATTTTCAGAGCAGCACAGAAAATTTAGAAGTGCAATATGTATTTATTTAAATCCGTATGACTGCCACCTCTTTGCTGCCTTGAAAAGTTTAATCTCTACTTTTAAAGAAATTGGCAATTGTAGGCTCCTCTATACCCCAACACAAGAGTATCGTGGGATCCTGGACAAATTCAGATAAAGCCTACTGTTTCACAGTCCAATGCTGTGAATGTCAATTTGACTTCTGCTGATAGAGCTGCCCTTTGTAGTGGGGTTTTCTCAGTTCTGATGTTCAGTTTTGCATCAAGTATCACCCAGGCAGAGTTACAGTCACCAAAGGAAAAGCTGCCTCTTCATTTCTACACTGTATTTTACAATTATAGTTTCGGCTGTACGTGTAAAGTGGTGCAGCTTTGGGTTTACAGGTAGCCTGGATCTGAACCACTGTCTCATTGCTCATGGTTGAATTAATGATGCGAATGTCTGAGAAGCCATCAGATTCATAAATCACCAGAAATGAGAGGGATAACTCATAAAAGTCCTTTCCTTTTGTTTAGCAATTTATCATTTTGCTTGCACATTAATAAACAGAGCTCCCCTGAGGTAAGCCACAGGAAGATAGATTTTTCTTCCTAATTTTCCTCAATCGTAGCCAGTAGATCACAAGTGGAGAGAGTGGGCTTGTCACAGCATGCTGGTGTCTTGCGACTCCCTCTACCCATCACTGATAACAAATAAAGGCGATTAAGTACCCTGGTGGATAATTATTTGTGTTTACATAACAGGCGCCAGGTTTCCGAGTCCGAGATTGTCAGCTAGACCAAGCCGAAAGCGTACGTTGTCCATATCCCCCCTATCTGATCACAGCTTTGACCTTCAGACCATGATACGGACATCTCCAAATTCCTTGGTCACAATTCTCAATAACTCTCGTAGCAGTTCCTCAGCCAGTGGTTCTTATGGCCACTTATCTGCCAGTGCAATAAGGTAAGAACAGCATTTTCTACCTGTATTGTATATTCTTATTTATGTGTTATACACGAAACACAAAGGTGAATGTATACTCACATCTTTCAGCAATTGTTGTGTTTTGTGAATATGTGTATTTTGTAGTGTCTATAATATATGTTCACTGCAGCTTAATTTAAAGTACAAAATACTTTCCTCCTTCTTGCTCAGAAAGGTAACCACAAGGGCATATTATTGTCCAGTGCAGGTAATACTCTATCTGACCACAGTAATGGTGTATGTGTCCTCAGGAGTCTGTTTTCAGAGAAGAAGCTCTAGGATAGGTTTGTGACTTAAGTCACTTGGTTTCTTATGGCCATAGATATAACGGACAGTGAAATATTCCTGCAGTACAGGTCATCAGAGCGTAAAGCACAGACGTGTGGTACTGTTCAATTAAATGCTTGGTTAGAACTTCTGGGTATTTATCTCCAAAGAGAAGACATTCTGCAGCTAGATTACCTATTTTTTTCTGTACCAAGGAAGTACTGTTGTTGTCCAGCATCATCGGAAATGCTGGGATTTCCACTTGGCCACTTCACTTGCATGTGCAAGGAAACAGCTAAAAATGGCTGTTCTGGAGGTAGAAGAGCAGAATAGTAAGGGTAGGGTGGGCAGAAGTTGTGCAGGAAAGGGGAGTAAACAAGGCACAGGGAGAGGAAACAAAAGCAAGAATGTCAAAAAAGAAAATGAAGAGAAACAGTAAAAAAGAGAGCAACTGCAGAACATTCTTGTACTTGAGACAGTGCTATGTGTTAACCGAAAAAAGCTCCTTTGGTATTCCAAAAAAAACCTACCCACCTCCCCAGAGTCTCTGAAAATATTGGGTTTGCATTTATGGCAGTCAGAGAAGGAGTACTGCTGGTCCCTGGCTTAAAAGCAGCCTCCACCTTCAATTTGCAATGAGGCAAAGGAGCAAGTCCCCACAGCGATTTCTGGAGATCTGAAAGACCCATTTTTGGCAAGGCTCAAGCATACTTCTCTGGCAAAACTGACACACTTACAACTTCAAAACCCAGCTATGGGGATTTGTGCTTACAGAGAAAGTGGGGCACGCAACTGGTGTGTTAGAAACCATGAGCCTGCTAAACTCTGGAAGTGACAGCACTGTAAATATTTGGTATTAGTTTAAGTGCTGTCGGGTTTTTTTAAGCATTTCTTTTAAATAGCAATGCTTCATAGCCCTGATGTACTTGAATAGCCGTATAGTATTTCACAGGTATGATATCATAGCTCTGCAATACATCTCTGCAACCTGTGTAGCCACAGGCCCAATTATGAAGCTCCATCATTTGCAATACGATTTACGTCAACAGCTGGCAGCAGTTTTGGACCACATCTGTTAAATACATGTGCTCTGTGGAGGTGTACTGTCCCTTTGATTAAGATGGGATGGCGCTTTAATTACTAACCTCCTTTTCCATTGCTTGTAACTTTGGTAAAACAAATAGTGCATGGAAACTGGCATAATCTGTACAGTGGAGTAAGTCTTCCCTCGTTTTACTCTTCCTCTTAGCTGGAAATGGTTGGTATGTGTTTTTGACACATAGAATCACAAATCTAAGGGCCATCCCTGCAGACCCAGAGTTGGATGAATAGGTTTGTTGAAGGCAGTTGTGGAACTGGAGTGAGTTTTAGGAAGAGACTGATTAAGGATGCTAAGGAGTAGAACAGTGAGTCTTGTGAACTGAAGAAAGCAAGGCTTGTATGCCTGAGCCTATGGCTGGCTGAAGCTTTCATCACTTACTGGTCACGCTTTCCAGGAATGCATAATCCAAAATTTCACATGATTTAGAATTAATCATTTTTTTCTTTTTGGTAAGAGTATACGCATTCAACATGAAGAGTTGGAAATATACATCTCCATTCTTCCCAGTGGAAAGGAAGGAAAGGGAGAGAGCACTAGCTCTTTCTTCAGTTTTGCAGCTGGCCTGTTTGGTGCCCTGTAACTTCTCCCATGCGAACCTGTCTATAAAAGTTACACCAAAACAAACAGTGACGTAAGGTATTAAACCCAAGCCACATTTCAATGCTTTAATAAATTGCAAGACTAAATAGCAACAAGACTATGAGTAAAATGTAATATGTTACAGCTCACTGTATTGTAAATAATGAATTCAGCACAGAAACTGCTGTACTGCATCAAACCATAGGTTTTGTCTGCAGCAGTGATCCAAGTCCAGAAAACACTTGTCCTAGTGTAAAATCCCAGCTTCTGGAAACTTGCAGGTAAATCTCATAGAGGTTGTTGCAAGAAAATGGTACAGTTCAGCAGCCCACTAGTGGAATTGGGGACAGGAAGGTTTTGTATTTTAGGCAACATCAGTAGCGTTAATGATACTTAGCACTGCACGGTTCTACTTTTAGGTCTTGTGTCCAGTCACTTTGAAGTTAGCCTGAATAGTTTACACTTGGCAGCATTTTTCATGGCAGATACCTATCTAATGTTAAGTATTTCCAAAAAGCATCAGCATAGTTATTGATTTATCAGAATAAAGTTAGGGAAGAAGAGACTAAAAGACCACTTGCTACCTTTTCACTGAGAATCTAAAGTTTGCCAGGAATGTTGCCTAGATGTTGTAGATATGATCTTTGCTGTTCTTGAAAAATTGTCCCATTCAGCCAAGTGGTAAAAGCCTTTAGGAGGTTTCTATTAGCATGTATTAAATAGCCCAAGCATTCAGCATGTTCCAGTACAGGGCTCATAGAGAGGAAGGAGGACCTTTCTCTGCAGCTGCAGCTCTGGTTAATCTGGTACCTCCTTGGGAAGCATGTGGAGGCTAAGCAGCCATAACTGCCTTGTGAAAAAGAAAGCAGTCTTCAGGGGAGACAAGGGTCAGAGCAGGAACTGTCCAGGTTAAGCAAGCTGGTACCAAGTGCTTTTCTATAACACAACATAGTATTACACTAGAAGAGAGAAAAAGCTGCAGAATAAAGCATGCAGAAGCCAGTCATTAAGGAGAATGAAGGTACTGCCCTCTTGTGATTGTGCTTTGATACCATCTTTAATTTCAGGGTTGCAAAGTATTTTCTTGCATGGCTTCATTGCTCAGGCTGAACATCCTCTCTGTGTCAGTCAGAGCCACAGGACCCTGCCTCAGCTGTCCCAGGCAGCTCTAAAAGAGGAAGGAGCCTCTTACCTGGTAGTTTGCTGCCAGGAGAGTGGACGCTGCTCTTGAAACACAGTCTCAGCCTGATGGTGGGCAAAGTGAAATAGTTAGAAGTGACCACCAGCCTCATATAGTTTCTCCTCTGGACGTCCAGCCTCCTAATTCAGCAGAGGAGCTGAGTTGCTCACAGCCCTGGCTTGAAGTTACTTCACTATGGTAAGGCACTGGTACAGGTTGCCCAGAGAAGTAGTGGCTGCTCCGTCCCCGGCAGGGAGGTTAGAACCAGATGATCTTTAAGGTCCCTTCCAGTCCAGACTGTTCTGTGATTCTGTGACTGCTGATTTGAACATTTCAGGTATTGCATCATGTTAATTAATCTGAGAGATCTGGTCTTCATGTCTGAAATTGGGCAACCACAATGAGTGGCACTTTTTAACCTTCATCTTTCTTTGATTCCTGTTCTGTGCAAATTGAGTCCTTCCCCTTCACCTCAGAGGGAGGTTGAAAACACTGTTTTGTGAAGCAGCTGTGAATCCTGCAAGGGAGGAAAAGGGATGTGTGTTCACGTAACTAAAAGCTGATGGGCTGGCACACAAACAGGTAACAACTTTACAAAAACAGCTTGAAAGAGCATTGAACTCACTGGTCTTTGCATTGGCAAAAAAAAAGTACATCCTCTAACTCAAAGATTACATCCTATGCTCCACACAGCTTTTCAGCATAGGACCGTCATATGAGCGCTGTATTGAGTCAAGTGGAAGCAGCCACATTTTGGGCTCTGTTACAGAGTCAAGCACAGAAAGGCTCAGGTCCTTGACATGGGTACTACTGCAGTTTGAATAATAAATAGCAATAGTTTAGCACAATCCAGATAGGGCTTGACTTGGCGGGTGCTTTGTCATTGTCAGCTGCAGTGTAATGCTGTATCCTGACTACTGGCTGAGTACTTGAAAAGAAGATGTCGCTCCTGCTGACAGCTAATAGTGGATCTCCTTTAGCACACCAGGTAGAGCTTCTACTTTATGCATTTGAAAACACCTGGTTTAGGTCTCAGCTGGGAGAGATTATGCAGAAAAGAGGTGTATGAAATAGCATCAAATGAGGATAATCCTTCATTTGACATTTACTCATTTGGTTACCTGCCTCAGTCCTGCAGTGCAGCACCCCTGCTATTAATCTTTTGTCAGGATGTACTTAATGTTATATCTGCTACCTGTGACAATTATTAGACTTTGCACTTCAGTAGCACTTCTTTTTTGAGAGGCAGCATGGCCTAGAGTGAATAGAAAGGGGGTAATCACTTCCCATAATATTAAGAGTACTGATTCAAAACCTTTACAAAAGATTGCTGGTCTGTAATAAACACAGGAGGTTGAGACTTCATGTTCTATATGACCTGAAATTCAGAGCCTCAGTGTTTTTCTAGTGCCTTAGCAGTGTTGCAATGCCAAATTTACAAAGTCAGTTTTCAGAGAATGAACTGAATTCCCTGTCAGCTACAAGGTGTTTAAATCAGGAGTAATTCCACCTACCACCAGAGACTTTCTTTGGGTCTAGGCAGATTTAACTGTGAACACACCTTAGCCATCTTATAGCGTGTTAAAATTCAGTTTCATGTGAGCATGGGAGCCCTTTGGGATCTCCTCCAAGGTTTGAAAGACTGAGAAAGCACAGCAACACTTTTCCCCCCCTCTGGGATCTGCCCCTGCTCCCCTGATGTCATCAGAAAAGGAAAGAGCGGTTAACATAGTGTGGTTAATTACAGTCAGATCCCGGCTGTTCTGGCTCCTGTCAGTTTCTCTGGGCTGATCTGAAGCTGAGCATCAGGGAATGGTAGTGAGGGTACTTTCAGAAAGAGCACTAGGAAGG